CTCTCATTCTCTCATTCTCTCAATTTATCAATCTCTCAATCTTATTATCTCTATTTAATTTTTATACATTTAATATTCATATAATAATATAAAAATTTTATACATTAAAATTTTCAAATTTTCAAAATTTTAATATATAAAATTTCGAAATTTTTTCAAATTTTTCAAAATTTTAAATATTATTAATTTTTAAATATATTCTTTAATCTTTAAATAATTTAAATATATTATTTATTTTTTGAAATTTTCGAAATTTTAATATATAAAATTTCGAAATTTTTTTAATTTTTCCAAAAATAATATAATATTTTAATATCAAAAAATATATATTAAAATGTCGAGGGAGTCCGGTAGACGGTCCGTGGATATGGGCGACGTCAACTGAAGATTGAGTAAAGGCAAAGCTAAAGCCACCTCCGACGGTTCGACCTCACGCGGACACGGTTCTCGAGGAAGACACTCCGTCTCTTCGTTTCCTACTGTCCCAGATCATTTAATCGGGGACGCTATGACGGATGCAGAATTCAACCAGATTTATTCTGGTAGAGGAGACGCGAATTTCCCCACTCTTGATAGTCTATTCGAGGGTGTTGATGAAGCAGGACTGGATAATCTTGACGGGGACGATGAGCCTACACCGCAAAGCAACGACGTCGACGTGGAGGCAAGTGAGCCCGAGACCTCTCGAGGTCCGGACAAAGGTAAAAAAATATAAATCAGAATTATTTGTTTATCATTTTAACAAAGGCACAAAAGATGGCATAGTTTATGAAACTTGTAAACATTGCGGGACCGTCATAAAAATGGGAGTTTCCGGCGGTTATGGCGGTCCGGAAAAACACCTAAGGTCGAGGCATCCCGTGGAGTACGCCAAATACGAGGCCAAAAAAAGGGACGACAAGAAGTGCAAACCCAAATTTCTCGGTTTGCTAACAGAGGTAAGGGCGGCCTTTTTGCTTATAGCGACGAGCAAAATAGGCAAAAATGGCCGAAATGATTTGTGAAGAAAATTTGTCATACATGTTTTCTGAAAAACTTGGTTTTATTGATTATTGTCAACAGGCATTAAACCCTCAAGCACGAGGTTTTTTAATTAAATGAAAAATTATTCGCCAGTATAAAATGGAAAAAATTAATTTGGCAAATTTTTTTCTCAATTTTAATTCTCGTGTTGCTATTTGTTCTGATATTTGGGTGAAACTTATCATAATTTGTCTTATATGGGTGTTAATTGTCATTGGATAGATAGTGATTGAATTATGCATAAACGTGTTCTTGCATTTCGTGATTTCAATGATCAGCATACTGCTGAAAATATTTTCCTATTGCTTCAAAGTATTCTGCGGGAATATAACTTATCTGAAAAAGTTTTTTCATTTGGTTTTGATAATGCTACTAATAATACTGCTGCTATTCCTAGACTTAGAGAAATTTGCCCACCGTCTACGACTATGGGTAGATTTCTGCATCAACGGTGTGCCTGTCATGTTTTAAATTTATGTGTTCAACAGGGACTACAAGCTCTGGGCGGAGTTTTGACAAATATTAAAGAAGGAATTAAAAAAATTTGGGGGGCTCGTCTTATTTCGAGATCCTGGAAGATGTTCTGTAAGTCTAAGGGTAAAAAAGAAATAAGTTTTACCAGAGATATCAACATTAGATGGAATAGTACTTACAAGTTGATTGCACAGATCCTAAGATATAAAGAGGAACTTGCTAAATTTTTTAGGGATGAACTTCGTATAATCATTAATCCTTTTGAATTTGTTATTGTTGAAAAATTGAATGTCGTATTAGAAGTTTTTAATAACGCAACTCTTACCTTTTCCCATGTTTACCAACCAACTACAAATACATTTTTTAAAGAGTGCATTACAATCGCAACATGTTTTCGTGAAAGTATGGCTGATCCTGATTTGTACCCTTATGTCTCTCCTATGAGAGATAAATGGTGTACTTATTATTTGTACATTCCTGATATTTATAAAATAGGTATTATTTGTGATCCACGATTTAAGATTGAAAATTTTAAAATTCTAATTGAGTATTACTACAGTTGTTTTTTAGATAAAAATAGTTATTACTACAGCTATTTAGTAGAATGGAAAAATGAAAGAGATAATGCTATAACTCTTTTTGAGGATTTGTTTAAGGAATATCAAGGGTTATAC